CTTTTTCCTTTACACTTGTTTTTGTATTTTTTCCTTTCACAATTAAAGTTGAAAACTTGAAATTTGAAAATTGAGGCTTATAAATTTATTTAATTATTTCAATGTTTGGGTTTGAAGATGTGTGGGTGTTGCCGAATGGGCCTTATGAATGAATGGTGCTTTACATGTTTAATTATTCAAGTGGATCGTAGAATTTATTTATTTAATTCATATTGGTTTGTTTTCTGCATCAAAAAGGATATTAATGAAATTCTAGATTATGGAGATGTAATTAATGATTTTGCTCTGAAAATGCCCGAAGAAGCAGCCTTTTTAAGCAATTCCATTCCTATAATTTTTTTTAAATGTATCATTTTATTTTTAGAGTGGGGCATGATTTTTTGTATTTTGCCAGGGCCTCACAAGTTTTAGGACCAGCTTCACGTTTATCGGACACCGGCACCGCGGGCCCTCTTCGCTGAAGAACAACATCACCACGACCCTACCCGTTCATCACCAGATTTGACCTTCGAACACGATGAGCAACAATCCTAATGCCAGCATCAACTCGCGCCATCTCCTCTCGATGAACCTCATCCCCGTCGTTCTTCGTCGAGCGCCCCGCTTTCCGGCGACCAACGACCAGCTATCGTTCGAGTAGGGCAGCGAGCATGAGAGTTTGTCAGGAAGTAGAAGAAGTAAAAGTCGAGTTCGCCGGGCAGCACACTGTTGAGCCCGTTCCAGCTGTTCTTCCCCTCCTGTTAACCCTCGTCCGTCTTCGTTTAGCGGCCCGAAAAATAGAGGCAGCCCTTTCGGGCCGTGCAATAGTAGCGGCAGCCCTTCGAGGCTTTTATCGAGTAGCCAGAGACATCGAATCAACGGCAAATCTGCTTCTTTTTCAGCGAACAGCCCCGGTTCGTGAGTTTTCAGCCAATAACTTCTTCCCAATGACTCCGAGCAGCAGCCGTGAGTCCTTAGCGAGCCGCCCCGAGTTTGCATGTGTATTGCAGCAAGACAAGCGAGTAGTCGGGGCCTGTTTCATCCGACTCCTTTTTTTGTTCTCGATTACTTTCCCGAAGGAGGTATAAGGCTTGATCTCCCTCGTTTATTTATTAGATTTATTGAAGGATTTAAATAAAAATTAAGGTTCCTGATCATGTGGTTTGCTAATTGAAAAGAGAAACAATGTTGATTGAGGTTAGAATAATTTGATTCGTTCGTTGTGTTTTTTTTGTGAATTTGACGTGGAATTGGAACTCTCCCTCTCGTTGCATTGTAACGAGTCTTCTCTAGGTTGTGTTTATCGCTGAGGTTTTATTGAGTATATGGAGCCTCGTTTTGTTATCCGAGCCCGTATCTCGTATTGATTAAAGTTTGTTTAAGAGTTGGGCTTTGGCAACCCCTTTTTGAAAACATTTCGTTGTTTGTTGTTATTTGTTGTTTTTGACTTTCGAAACTCGATCTAACGTTTTTGAACTCTTCATGTCATTTCTAGTTCGGTTTTTTGTTTTCTTTGGAACGAGAATAGTGTGAATATCAATTTTTTTGCTGAAAGTTATGGCCAAAGTTTGGCGATTGCGCGTCCAATTTTTTAGATTTTCGAAACTGCATGTAGTCTGTTTTGCTTGTTGTTTTTGAGTACTGTAACCTGATTGCCTCTTTTTAGAGACTTCACATAAATTTTAATTCAATGAGTTATCTTTCTTGTGGAAAAATAATCGAGTGCTTATCATTTTTATATTGATATTCATGTCGAAAATTCGATCATTGCGTAGTCCGTTTTACGTTTTAAATGTAGAATTTCGAGTCTGTCATTTTTGCTATTTTTAGCATGTTTCTAGTCACCTGAGAATCTTGATGTCTTCATAAATTTGTATTTTTATCTCTTAGATTTCAAATGACTCAAGATTCGTTCAAATATCATTTTTGTACAAAAAGATACGTTCGAAATACAAACGTCGTGTAATCAGTTTTTTGACTTTTTTCTAAAAAAATGACAACAGGTTTGTTGTGTAAATTTGTTCTGTTTTCAGCCATTTAACTTGCTCTAATGTGCTCGATGTCTTCATAAAAGTTTTATTCGTGTGTCTTTAAATTATGTTGAAAAAAGAATCACTTGGATTCGAGCTTTCTATCAAAAGTTGTATTCAAAATAAAATCGCTGCTCATATAGAGTTACCCATTTTCCGGCAACTTGATTTCTATGTTTCCAATTGTCCGTCTTTGAGCCGTTCTACCCGTTTTCAAGCCAAACCTTAATTTAACCTCGTGAACATTGTCTCGAGACTTGTTTCAATTCTCTCAGGGTTCCAAATTCCACAAAGGTCCACGAACTACTTAGTCGATAATGTTCGACCAAGTATGAATTATTGTGATTAATTCTAAGGGTCAACGTAATGTTTTTATGCAAATATCTTGATTAAATGTAGGTCTCTGACGAGGCGATCTCTCAAACTACTCTACTGATTGAGCAATATCCTACTTTAGTGTCCAGGTGGGTTATTCTAAATTGATATGCCATAAGTTGTTTATTTTGTTAGATGGTATGATCAATGTATGCATGTGAACCATGTAATCTTCGATGTGTATTGTTTCGACCGTCGAACGGTTATCCCCATCCATGTAATACAGGCATAGTGATAGGCAATCTCATGAAGACCTAATAACATGTTATATCGTTATAAGACCAGGGCAGGGCCTTCGGCCTTCGATATGCATGTCGTTGTAAGACCAAGGCAGGGCCTTCGGCCTTCGACATTTACTCCTACTGTTTGTGTGATGATAAGACTTCAGTAGCTTATGATAGATGTGCACACGAGTATTATGATGATTAGGAAATGGGATATATGATTGATTCGTGTACATGCTGCGACCATGCCTATATGTCTTCATATGTGATTTATGTGTATAGTAGTGAGCAAGTAGGTGGCAGGTACGACGGGTGAGGACGAGTGGTGGTCGATCATGTTTGACATTGACCATTTGTGTTTGCTTCCACTTATTTTATGAACTGTTATGACGTGATGTTGAATATTTTCAAAAAATTAGGTTTTAACTTGTTGATGAACCAATGAGTGATTTATTATTATGATTGGAACTTGACGATTGGTTCGATTTCATATGTCGATGATGATATATCCATGATGATGATTATATATTGAAATGAGTTGATGTTTTAATAATGATACCCTTTGCAAGATTTTCGGGTAATGAATTCCCGTTAGTTCAGATATGACTTCAACTATTTTATGAAATAGATGGTAGCGCCTTTAAATGTGTTGAAATCAAACAATGAACTTCGAAAATTTTAATCTTGATTCTTGGAAAAGTCCAGAGTTTTCATTAAAATCAAAAGGGGGCGTTACATCCTCAGTGTAGAAAAACAAAAAGTCCAGAGTTTTCATTAAAATCAAAAGGGGGCGTTACATCCTCAGTGTAGAAAAACAAAGTAAAAATAACATCTTCTTTTTCTTCATTAAAATCAAAAGGGGGCGTTACATCTTCTTCTTCTTCTTCTTCTTCTTCTTCTTCTTCTTCTTCTTCTTCTTCACGAAAAATATGCGACATCTGATAGCGAATCGACTGAAGTGTAGTTGTGATACACATGAGAGGATGTTGAATATGTCACGGGCCCTGAGGGCCAGATGTCAAGAGTGTCATGACAGCAGCAGCATCCAACTCTATCCAAATATGAGAGGAGATCGAGGCGACAGTCTGCAAACCGATTTGAAGCGTCTGAACCTCTGCGGCATAGCTCATGGAGGCCCGGAGGGGAGCATCGAAAACGGTAATAAGAGTACCGCAATGGTCCCTGATCAGGCCCCTACCTACGACAGCTCCGATAAGTCAGTCAAATGAACCGTCTGTATTTAGCTTAACCCAAGGGGGCTCGAGTCTCAGCCAAATAACAGCTCTGGGGCGTGGGTGCTGGACAGGTGACAACGGAGGCAGTGCAAAGCGGTGGGGTGGCGTGCAGCCTGTCCAGTCTCTCGGGGTGAGTTTTCCCAGAGTGGTGAGAAGAGAAAGGTTTCGGTCAACCTGCAAAATAATATGGTAACACAAAAAGGTAATATCCCTATGCTTCACTAATATTCATATGCTTCACTTTATTCCTTTCTGTCCAGTTGAGCCAAAGGATCAGACAAAAAAATAAGGAATCCCACGTGTCTAATGTGTGTACACTGTGTCAAAAAACTCAAAAGCTAAAAAAAATTATATGTGCTGGGAAGGAGTATATGAGTGTAACTGGCATAATGATATCACACTCTCCTCATAGTCTCACTCTCAAGAAACAAATGGATGAAGGTCTCAGTCTGGAAGTCGCCGGTCTTAGCACAACTATAGCAATGAGAGGGGAACGAGAACCCCTTCGCCTGCATCATAGTATCAACTAGTTGCAACCCGTGCATTTGCACGGAGAGCTAGTCAATTAATTTTCATTTTCACAGAAAGCTATGTGATAGAGGGAAAAATATAATAAATTGTAGACAATAGGAAAAATAATAACACAATCACTTGATAAAAGCCCAAGAAAAAAAAATCTAAATATTATTAAACACTTCCTTATATACAACGTTCGTGGTTTTATTATCGCCAGAATCTCCATCAGCACAAATCAGAATTTTCAAGCCCCTCCGACTCGTTACTCTAGAAAGCGCCACATATAATTGCCCATGACTAAATACAGGGCTTTTCAATAGTAAGTCGACGTGCGACAGTGACTGGCCTTGACTCTTATTGATTGTCATAGCATAGGAAACCATGAGGGGGAATTGCCTGCGCTGAAATTTGAACGGTACCCTCAAATCGGATGGTATGATCGTGAGCCTAGGAATAAGAACCTTATCACCAGCTCTGGCACCGGTTAAAATTTTGCATTCTAGGATATGGCTGCTGAGCTTAGTAATAACCAATCGAGTACCTGTTGAAATCATAATTTGGAGAACAAAAACAAATAACTCGAATTTGTACATAAAATAAAATAAAATATACATAATGTATCGAATTTTAATCAACATTACCGTTGCACAACCCCATGGAGTGATCAATGTTTCTTAGGAGCATCACTGGAGTGCCAACCTTCAAGTGCAATTTATGATTGGGAAGTCCGGAACACTTAATCCCATTGAGAAATTCAGGAGTGTGAAGATCGTGAAGATAGTCATATCCAGCATCTGACTTGCAAGCACTGTACGAACTCAAATAAGTTCTTCCCTCGGAGGTGTTCAATGAGCTCATGTACTCATTGACGGACTCAACAACATCAAGGGTGGGAGCGAGTATAGCTCTGTCCTTCAAGTAGCTAAGATCGTCGCCCGAACTCCTAAACATTGGGTACGTACTCTCCACAATAGAAGCGATAGGATCACCTTGTGATTTCAGAAGAATGTCGTCGGGAATGTCGATGTCAGCACATCCATCGTTCGGTCCACCAGCAGTACCGTCGCCAATGCTTGCAAGCCACTCCGAGAAAAGCCTCAACTCATCGTACTCACCGCCCCCACCAAGGCTTCGAAGCCTCATGTTCTGAGTAAGTCTCAGAACGATACAATCTCTCCATAAGCTGGACGAATTGATGGTCGCATTCACTATATCACTCCGAGTGCCTTTAGGCACAACAGGGAGAATCTGTCTGAAATCGCCACCAAATACAACAGACTTGCCGCCAAAAGGGAGATTTTTCATCGATGGATCCACCACTTGCATTAAGGCTCGTAACGTGTTGTCAACTGCCTGGAAGCAATACTTATTCATCATCGGGGCTTCGTCCCAAATGATCAACCGACATCGTACAATTAGATCAGCCAATGGACTCTGCTGGCTAATGTCACATGTCGACCCTTCAGTTGGGTTTATCGGGATTCTGAAGCGTGAATGGGCAGTCCGGCCGCCGGGAAGCAAAAGTGACGCGATACCGCTCGATGCAACGTTCAACACGATTTCACCCTTTGACCTCAAACCAAAAGACAACGCCCTCCAGATATATGTTTTACCAGTGCCACCGTAACCATAAACAAAAAATATGCGGCCGTGGCTACAGTAGACCGAGTCCATAATTGAGTCATAAACATTGCGCTGCTCATCAGTCATGTTGGCAACCAATTGCTCATTCTCAATCGTTAGTGCACGACGATCGTAATTCAGCTCGTCCATCACAAGTATGTTCATGGACGCCTCATTACGATTGAGAACAGGAAACGGCATTGTACCATAGTCATGTAAACTCATCCCACGTCGCCGCATAATCTTTTCGATCTCTGCCAAAGCGAGATTCTTTATTACCTCATCTCTCATGACCAATTCTGTAACAATGAAAGTACAAAAAAAAAAGTTAATTACAAAGACAAAACATATAATAAGTAAATATAATAAATAAATAAAAAACACTTGTATTTGTTACCTGGGTGGTGTAAAATCCTCCGACGATTATGCAGTATGTCATCCGATAGGTAATGCTAACATGCATCCCACACAAACTCTGGTCGACCAAGAGTATCGGAGGAAAGAAGAGTTGCAAAAAGGGCCCTCAATGAACTTGCGGTCGCCCATTGGCTTGCCTCAATAATGCCTTCTATATACTCCTTGTCGTCCTCCACCAAACCGAGGGCAAAACACGCTGCGCGATACGAATCGTGTTGGACACCATTCAACTTCATATAGTCACGATGGCATGTTGCACCTCGAACAACATTGATAAGGCACCTCAAGTAAAATATATCTCCAGCTCCGGGAGGGACGAAGTACAATCGCGCAATTCGGTCGCTTCCTTTTCTAGGCTCCCAACTTTGTGTTTCCAAGTGCCACGTAAATTTAGTGGGAGCCTCGACATATGTAAGTTCTCTAGCAGCGGGATACTTCTTGTTAGCCTCCATCCAAGCCAAGAATTTGCTAACGCGCTTTTTATTTTTATCAACCACTTGATCGATCGGAACTTCATCGTCATAGTAGCAAGGATGTTCGTTTTCGAGGTGAAAATTCAAGCGCTCCACTGATGGCCATTTGAACTGAATCTCAAACTCCAACAACCGCCACGCAGCCTCACAAGATGAAACATACCGACAATCATAGTACATCTTCACCTCATCAACCAGCCTGCTAGACGACTCAGCTCCGTTTGACTCGTAAAAGGTGGCGGTGACGCGATCATTACCCTTGTTCACGTACTTGAACAAATATTTGATGGACCTCGACTGGTTGCACCATTCCATATTTATGT